TCGGGACTTAAAAGCTTATGCGAAGCCTACGTTGTTCTTTCTTCAAAATAGACGTTGTTCTTTGTGAAATGTTGATGCTTTTGAATTGCTTTAATTAATACTGTAGGTTTTGTAACGCTTCACTTAACCTTATTTCATATTTACATCCGAATGTATTTTTGTTTGATATTCCATCCTATATTTACTATTAGAATAATTTCTTTTTAAATTTTTTTGAATTCATATTTTTCACAAAGGCATCTCTCATCCAAATAACTGTTGAGTGCTTTGCCATAATCAATTAATTTGAACTCATTTTTCATTTTTTTTCTAATGCAGTTTTTACATCTATTTATATATGTTCTTGTTGAATAAAACACATACACTTTATTCTTCATCGATCCTGTAATGGCTAGGCTTACCATAATAGTTTTTGCTCAAACCTGAAGAATTTTGAGAAAATACTCGAACAGAAAATAAAACCTGAAAAAGCAACTACTAAGAAAAAAGGAAAATAATGAAGGATTGAAAAGCCTAAATAAAGAAGATATTAACAAAAAATAACAATGAGTTAAAATAAATTTTTAGTAACTCAATGTATTATTCATTAGTATTTACCATTAGTATTCTAGTGTTTTTATCACTAGTATGAACTTTATTATTTTTAACAGTATTGAAAAAATTCACTGCAATTTAGATGGCTATTAATTTTGCAGATTAGTAAAGCTTTTACTGTTGATTCAGCCAGTTTAACTCTTTCTTCAAACAATTTTTTATGATGCTCATAATTGACAATATTCTTTTGATTGCTGCCAGTGTGTATCGCATGCTTGAAAATGTATTCTATCATTTAAATGGCACTGTGCAATGAAATGTGTTTTCTTTGAAATGATCGAAATTTTGCATCCATTTTTCTTCACAATTTTCTCCAATTTCATTGACAATATCAGTTGCTTTTGTACTTTCCATAATGAACATAGCTTTGTTAAATAATGAGAGTTGCCCTTGTACAAACCATAAATAGTACAATTCAGTACAATTTTTTATCATCCCTTCAAAATGCTCTTTTGAAATAAAATTTCAAGTATTCTGTCAATAGCTGGAAGTAGCGAAAGAAAATAGGTGTTGTTTATGTTGAAGAACTTTTTAGTCTACATATACAAATTCACAAAAATCTTTTAGTTTAGTGACTCAAATATATAAATAATAATCACACTAAATATAAGACACAAGTAAACCGGTAAGTCACGGCTAACGCTAGTGGTGACAATATTTAACGGAACATTAATCGCCAATCTTATGATACATAGCCAATAGTGTACAACAGATGTCAACCTATTCAAAGCCGCCTGAAATAGATCCGCCTGTTATCTTCAGGGGGCTTTGGCAAAGAATATACTCATTCCTTTGTTCTTTGGCTTTGGCCTATTACGCTAGCGAATCATATCACTGCGCATGCGTGAAGCGTTAGCCCCGCACAACGGAGGCGCTACTATGTTTACTGCCGAGCACGCGCTAGCGCATGATATGGATATCTAATAGCCAATCACGCGCCCAGGGATAAGTCCTGTCACGCGCAAGAGATTGTGGAGGTATATGTTTTCACGTTATTCAGCTTCTAGTGAAATTTTGGATTCTTACCCTAGCAGCTAATGTGTTAATGCTTACTGTGGATACAAGGTACCAGGGTAAAAACAATCTGATGTGTGCACCACACAACTTCCTTGTACGGAATATTAAATTATACGCATTTTTTCTTGCATTTCATTTAAACTTATTGGATTGAATTAAATCTACTTCGTCTATAGCGCATAAACACAATAGAATAAATGCACTCTTAAAATTCACTATATTTATTTACCATAGCGACACTCTGGCGCTACCTGATTCAGAACGTTAAAGAAGGGTTCGGCCAGAAATATTAGACCTATGTTCTGCTAGAATGTTACAGGAACATCTATAGAACAAAATACTATGCAAAAGTGTCAGTTACCAAGCTTTGACGTTCTGCTGTCCGGTATTGAACTGTGACCTTCTGATGTGATTCAGAAGTTGCGGGAGTATTCATAGAACATTGTGTTAACATAATATGTCGACTAATTATCTCCTGTTACCAAGGATTTAGCTTTGAAAACATTAGAAATAATACGTACCTTTTTTTGGATATTTATTTGCTGTCTTCTTTCCGCGTAGAAGTAGGTTCACTTAACAGCGTTATATTTCGTTCATATTATAACTCACAATGCACAAAATTTATATCATTTGAAGAATTATCTAATCGTTGCCACATGTTCTATTCAAATACTATAATAAAGCTAGAATGATGTATAAAAGAAATTAAGCAAACAAAACAAAAAAGGAACAGTTTTTCACAGACGATTGAGTATTTCTCATTCAATTAATTCAGTTCTCACTTCGCGAGAAGGCAAAAATACATAAAAACTCAAAATATATTAAAAATTACGAAGTAAATCTTAAACACTTATTTCTTCGAAAAAATTCCAGAAAGGATTAAGCATAATTTAATTGACAATAATAAATGAAGGCGTTATTTTTGTTCTTGCAAAGCTAAGTTTCTCTAGATTGGCAACAAATCCACTAGTTTGCTGTTTCAAATGTAAACAATCAATGGCCGCCATGAAAATAAAGGCTTAGCGGCACTTAAACAACTTTAAAATTGTTGATAATTCTAAAAATATTGCATACAGATTTACTAAAGGCATAAAAACCTTAACCGGAAGATAAAAACAAACATATTCAATCATTTTTAAAGCAAAAAATGTACAACTTACAAGCATATAAGAGTAAAGAAACTGAGATCACTGAGCCGGTTAACAGAGTGGATATATACATACACGCTTTGGTGGCGACCAAAATACGAGGTGCACATCTACATGTCATAGCAGTCCTATATACAAAATTTCAACGTTCTGAGGCTACTTGTTTTTGAATTATGCGAGATACGTACGTACGTTCAGGCGCCACCAAAAATTCTCTTCAGAATTCATTTTAAATCAGTTTTATAATTTTTTTTGGGGAAAAGAGTCTTTTATTCTGTCCTTACGTACAGTTGTCACGCAAAAACATCGTTAAATTGCATTCGATAGGGGTGAAAACGGATATTGTCGTTGAAATGTGATGCCTGAAAATTTTCGCGATTAAAATACTTCTTTTTTACTTCGTACAAGGAAGTAAAAAGGACATAGGACTTTAGGTTTTCAGAATGGATTTATTGGATTATGGTAAATTACACCAGTGCTACCTGTTTAAGGAGAGGGATACTTTCGTGGAGAATCTTCTAATATTTTGATTGTCGCGTCACTCGTATTCGGTTCGGTTTACTTTCAGAACTACGAATGTTCAGCGATTTTACATGGTGCTAATTAAGTTGGTGCGATTTCATCCGAATACCGGTGACTGTAAACATTCTGATCAAGCATTGTGATCCGTATTCTGGTGACAATTCTTTGAGTATTTATGAGGTAAAGGGGGTATTTGAAAAAATTGTTTGTTGATTGCTGAAAGAAAGAAACGAAAATGATTGTTGCATTTATCAGTAGTCGAATCAGAATCTGAAGATGTAATTTTGTTTATAATTATCCTTTCGAAAAATCTCGACTGTTCCTCATCTCTACTATTAGAATTTTTATAGGGCTCGCAGCAGGTTTCTTCTTGTCTGCTATATGATTGATTTACTTAAAAATTACTCTTTAAATTTGCAAAAAATTGGAGCAACAATTTTAACACACAAGATTTTCAACCATTTGTCACTACAGAAAAAGTATTTGGAAAAGAAATAATTTTCGAATCTCACACTTTTTCTTAGATACTTTGTCCTTGAGGAAAGATTTTAAATTGAGTGCATGTTCAAAAATGTTTTCGTTCTAGCCGTTCTAAACTCCTAGAATCGGAAACAACTGACACATAGTATAGCAGCGCTCGTGGTCTAAAGGAGATTTTCTTACAAATTCGGGTAGCAGTCAACGCGTTAAGTAAAACTGGCTCGTATTTAATGTTTAATGGCATTTAGCGACGCGCGAAGGAATGAAAAACTTTTTCGAGATAACGCATTCATATTTGAATGGGAGGTTTCTAGTTGAAAACAGTTGCGTTCATTGATCTGTTATGCGTACGAACCCGCAATATTTTATGCCTGAGGAAAATTAAGCTGGGACTCTGTTTCGCGTAGGAGAGGAACCCATCTTTTGCACTTCTGGGAGGTATATGTCGCTTGAAAAAGTTTCTTATTGTGTTGCACATTGATAGGTCTGATAAAGGTTTAAGTTGCACATGTTGAAAACTACGAAAATATTCCTAACTTTGTAGAGACAATAGATATATTTTTAGAAGCAGGCAAGATGAAAAATGAGCAAACGCCTTCGCCGGTAATCGAACCACGGACCTCTGTAATACCAGCCCAGTGTGCAGAAGCACTACACCACGAAGGCACGCTAGGAAGGGGGGAAATACCTTATATACTCCCCCTTTTAAAGGGCGACTGGAGTTTTTAGGGGACCCAATCGCCAAATCCTGGGCGGAGAGAAATCATCATCCACCACCCTTTTTATTTCGGGCGCCACTGTAGAGACATTAGGATTTTTCGGAGTAGGCATGATGAAAAATATGCAACACCTTCGCCGGGAATCGAACCGCGGACCTCTGAAATACCGGCTCAGTGTGCTGACCACTACACCACGAAGGCACGCCAAGAAGATGGAAGAAATACCTTATAACCTATTCATTGGGTATGAGCAGTCACTGGATATGAATCTCTATCGAATTATCAATGTTCAACAGTTTTATTTACTTGGGCACTGATGGGAACTTTTTTAAAATAAGGTGTACAATTTTATGAAAATCATTACAACTGGCTGAGGGAAATTTTGGATTCATATAAAAAATTAATTAGTAAATTATTTTGCTTTAAATCGTTAAAAACAAAAAATTCTATTTATACAGAACACGTAAAATATGAACGTACATGTTTTGTGTTCAAAACGTGAAATAAAATGCTATAAAAATGACAAAGAAGTAATAAAACATTTATAAAACAAGAAAATTAAGTAGTATCATAAGCAATTACACAATACCTGTTTATAAACATTAAAAAAACATAAAACAGACAAAAATGTAACAATATCTTTAAAATATCACTCTAGATATTACAAAATGTGATCTATAAATGCATAAACCAAATAGCATAAGAACTGCCCTAAATATTATTCAAACAAATATTTATGTAATACATTACAACTTTCTCAACATCAGAGTATAAACATTCTGTCAGGACGTACATTACATGAAAATGTATAAAATACTAACAAAGAAATAAAGCATCAATGAATTCATTAACAGTTGTTTTCTAATTATTTGTGATCAAAGTATTTTTTTCAGTTCACAAAGAATTCAATCTAATTTTGAGTTAAAATATTTCACTAGCCACCTAATAAATATGTGATATTAATCTTAAAATGGCACGTTTCTCATTTTTCACTATTAACAGCTTGCATAATTTTATATTCTATCAGTTCATGACAGTCGGGAATTTAGAAATTATGTAAATGTGTAGAATATAAAATTTTAGTTAAAGTATGTTATCCAAATGAAACGGTAACAACGGTTTTCACAAAAAACGAATTAATAGAAATCTATGCTTGATTTTTTTGCCACTGCAGAAACCTATATATAAATGTTCATAGTGATTCTAAAATGCTATAGCCGTGGTTGTCAACTTTTTTTTGCCCCAATCATTCCTTTTACCATTGCTAGATGATCATTCATTCCTCCTCTCCTACTCCAAACTCGAGAAATACATATACAGATAATTTTTTAAAGTGTCCCATAAATTACACAAAAAGGGATAGAATCTATTAAAAAATAACAAAACTTGAATAAAAGTAGCTTTTTATATTTATAAACCAAAACTAAATAATTATCAAGTTAATAAAAGGAACTCATTCCACTCCCTCGAAACCAAGAAATTCTTCCCTGGTTGTTCCCTTATAAGTGTTGTTCTTATGATAAGACATGACTATTATTGTAAATTTTATGGTGTATAACAAAAACAGCCATTTTTGTTTGGTTTTGTTATCTCTATAATAAAATTTGAGGAAGATTAATAGAAATTAAAATGGCAAGCCATTTAGACAAACGTTCTGCAATTTAAAGAAATTTTTTAAGATAAATTAAAGAATTTTACATAAGTGATAAATGCAAGGATTTCAAATTCATTAGGCAATGTACATATTTTATGATAATTTTTATGATAACAACTTTGAAACAATTGATGACAGCAACAAGGATACAATCGTGGGTAGATTATGAACCTATGATTTATTCTCTGCGTGTATCAGATGCACATGCCGAGATCACATATAATATGTAAAATAGAAACACAAATCAAGAAACAGTATTTCAGCACTTAGTCAAGATAAAGTTTTTCGAAAATTATACGGAACCCATGTGCTTCAGAATTGAATTGTAACTTTGTGTATACAATCAGGTGACTTACCACCCCTTTTTAATCTTAAGTAACTACAAATTCATAAGGTTTAAAACAAATCTTTTTAATTAGAACTTCGACTTAAAAACTACGCAGTTCTTGTATCGCAAAATAAGTCACCTCTTGTTGTCGGATTTAACAAAACAGAAGAATCAAAATAAAAATTAAAACAGTTAAAGTATGCAATTCACATTTACTTTCACATTCAAAGTGCTTTAACTCGAGGTCTTGTTTGCTCATGTGATCATGAGCAAACAAGGCTGGCAAAATGTTAATGCCGACCCAACTAATTTCAGAGTGTGCGTAAAGAGTATGGAGAACGTCAGCGGTCGCTGCAAAAGGCTCTGCTTTAACTTCAAGAACTTTGTTCTTATATACTTTAACTATATTTGCATCCTGGTGGGAGCCCACAAAAGTAGAAGCGATAATAAAGATAAAAATAAAAAAGATAATCGATTAATAAACATAAAAACTTACAAAGAGCACCCAAAAGAATGAAAAATTAACTTGTGTCGGAAAAGAAAATGCTTTTGTTTGCTTTCTGTTAATACAAGAAGACCAGTAAGTGAATTTAATAAAACACGAGATATAATTTGCGCTAAAAATGCTTTACAGAACATAGCTATTTTTTTTTCCGTTCACTTATGGTATCACCTTATTAAATTATTATTTAAAATCGAAAATATTTAAATATTCCTGCTTGTAACCATTGATAATTTATTTCATTTTATCTGTATGCTCAAGAGTAATAAAATTTACGCTTCTGTCTATACAATTTTTTACCTTCAAATAGTATAATTTTTTAAAGTATTTTAAAACAACTGTTAATAGATTCTGAAAGACCGTACTATTTTCTTCATTTATTCTTTTAAGTTCAGTATAATTAAATTTGAATATTTTTATATTTGGGTTGAAAACAAATACGTCTAAATATTTATTATTTATTCTGTAAAAATTAACTCTTGTATGTAATTGAACCTAAGAAATTAAATGCATTAATGTAAATAATGATTTTGTTTACATTTAAAATAATGCAGTTTACACGTTTAATAATTTGTACCGCTTTTGGTTTTAAAGCGAAGAATTTACTTGGTAGTATAAGAAATTAAAATGCAGTACAGATTAATGATTTTACAACCATAACGTTTTGTTTTCATGCAACACTGAAGTCTTATTTACCAGATTTGCATATAAATAAGATTGGTTAATTATTTTTACAAATCGTGTTTAACTAACAATAATTGCATTTTAAATAAAATTACACATCCAACATTATGCATCTATGATACTTTTTCTATGAAACAAACATGAACACACGTACAATAAACACATATAGGGTATTTTGCTGCTTATTTGATAGGTATTAAAACAACGCTATAATATGTATGAATTTCTAATGTTTTAACCTTGGCTATAGTATTTCATTTCATGAAAGAAAACATCCGATTGAAACTATGCTCTTGGAGATAAAATAATGGCTGATAAAATGGAGTTTGATTTTAGTCATAATAAAGAAGACAAACTTTGAAACATCACTGTCATCAATTCTTCTTGGTCCTCTTCCATATCCTTTTCATCTAACAGAGCCGAATAATGGTGCTCCATCAGATCAGAAGCAGAATACATATTTTAGATCACGATGGGAAAACTGTTACACTGTTTCTCCGGTTTTATTTCATGATAGCAGTAACAATCCTGCTATCATTTTTATTGCGCAGTGTCGTAAACATGTCCTTTGTTTTTCTTTTTCATCGAAGATGGCTTGGAAGGAAGTGGTCTGTCTTTCATATTCTAAAAAAAAAAAAAAAAAATAAGGAAAGAAAGAATAAATAACAAAGATGTGTTAATATTTAAAGTAAACCCACAAATTACATTATATTGAAATAATTTAAAATTTAATGTAACATAAACTCATCATTTTCAGAAAATGTATTAGGGGGAAAATATGTATTAGACTTCAGGAGAAAAATATGTAATATTTATATATTAACTGATAATTGTGATTTCCGCAACCTGAAACATGACAATAATCATTAATAGTTTCTAAGTAGATAATTTACCAAAAAGTATTTCTTTTAACTGTATATTTAATCTTACTTTTATGTTGTGTGTCTCACAATGCAAGATAGTCTGAAAAAGTAAAGTAATAAATAATATCTACCCAACGTTATTGCGGTAATTTCTAAAATAAAGAGACAGTATAACATATAACAAAACACAATTACATTACATGAAAATCTCCAATGGAAATACAAATATTTTTCTTATTACTCCTGGTTGCTAGGAAAATTTCACATATTTTACTCTACATTACAATGATTTTAAACGTATCATTCCATCACGCGACGTCAGTTTTTAACTCTTGCCATTTGCGACTGGAATGATGCTATTCCCAACCTATTCTCTTTCCTTTTGAATTTCATTTCAGTCTTATCGGATTTTTGAAAGGACGACAAAATAGAATCACAATCTTTGGAGACTTTCTTGAGTTATCATTATCTGGATACGGCGATTTTGATGGCCAGTCGAAGAAGAAACTTCTCTAGAAACAGGCTCCACTGGAAAGTCTTGACTGCGAATCTCTAAAGGAAAAATTCTTTCAATAGGAAGAATCAAATTTCATAGCTATTACCGTCTTTACCTGGAACTAATTCAATAATTCTGCTGGTCAGCCTAAGCGCCTTTTGAAATCCACTAGGAAAATGTCGCCAACCTCAACATTCCTTTCTAAAGCGTAATTTCAAATCTTCGATTAACTTAGCATGGTACTTAATACTTTTCCGTAAATTGTTAGCATCAACCTCATCGACGTTTCCAATTTTTTAATTCGATCTGTCGATTAAGAACGTGGCTGTAGTTTATGCAGTCTTCTGATAAATATGTGAAAGGTCGAGAATTTATAACGCTTTCACAATCACATATTTATTGTTACTAACTCTTTATTATCACAGTGTGAGGCAAGCCTCCACATTTATTCTGTTCACTGTTCATTTATTCTGTTTATTCATTTATTCTGTTCACGCTCAATGACAGAGCAAAATTGACGGCTGCAACTGGTTTCTCCTCCTTCTGCTGCTGGGCTCCAAAGGTGTAGGACGGTCTTCTGGCTGTTATCACCCCGGATGATGCGTGTGCCATTTTTGTTCTTTTTCGTTCCTTTTTGACTGCCATCTCCATACTGTATGTAGAGCAATGTATTCCTTCTAATAAAGAAATTGGTACTGAAGATTCAAGTAATATAATCTAGATGCTAACTACTGCCGTAAATTAACGATGTTCTACAATTTAATAAATCCTCGAAAGGACTTCATGTGCACGTGCTCCACTTTCCGAATAATATGAGTATTCGCCTTGTGCTTCTTCAAAATATATTGGAATAAGCAGTCAACTCAATTTCCGCCGTTATAAAATTTGATTTTTTTTATCATGAAACTTTGCTTGACGTTGATGGAATGAGATATACTTGGATTGGAATATTACGCATTTCTCGTACGAAAGGTTAGGATTCAAAATGGTAGGACTGATACTTTTCGGTCACTATACGATCATGACTGATAATCTTCTGCCTGGTGATATTTACTTAATTTATGCTGGTACTGATTCAAAATTTAATGATGTCAAGATATCATAAATATTACTTAATTTACATTATTTGAATTTTCAACCTTTGGGGGTAAGTTACTTTAATTTCATATTCCTTTAAGATCACACACCTCATTTTTTCTTACGTACAGCTTTTTCTAAAGATCATCTAAGGAGCCTCTTTAACACAATCCTAATAAGTCTCTCCCACCAACCTCTCCACCAGGCTGCCGTGGGAGGAAGAAAATAAAAAATTATGCTTTGAACCTAAGCTAATCGTTTTATTTTCCCCTAGTTTATTTCTTAATTAATAATAGATTAAAATAGATTAATCTATTATTATTTAATGATAGATTAATAAGAAAGATAATCGTAAGTACCTCTAAAATTTAGATTGTATAGATAATTCTAAGTACCTCTAAAACTTGTAACATTGTCACAATACGCAATTCTACGTCATCCTCGTCTCGCTATAGCGTCTAAATGAAAGCAGGAGTGTTTCTGTCGACATAGATTAAATTACATCTAAGTATAAAACTCTGCATAGGCCACATGTAAGCAAAACAATCCAAACTTTACCACTGTGCTTTGCATCGAAGAGTTCTGCTAAATTTCTTCCCTCAATCTCAAACACAAATGCATTTTCAACTCTATCTGCAGGCAGTGCGGCTGGATATGCTGTTAATAACTGAGACTTAAATCTTTGACACTTGATACAATATTTCAAAACATTTTGAATTGCTTTTCTACCTCTAAGAGTCCAATAATTTTCGCATAGGATATTAAGTAACATTTGTACTCCTGCGACCTTGACAGTTCTCACGATAAAAATGCTCCATAATTTTTCGTGTAAATACAGATTTCTAAGGAAATAAGATTGGTGATATAAACTTTGGTTTATCAATTCTTTCCTTTATACGAGTTTTTACAAAAATAATTTCTTCTTCATCTTTGAATGTATGTATGTATATGTGAAATTTCTCATTCAAGAGGAATACAATTCTTCCACATTCCTCGTATTATTATAACCTTAGCATCCTTAATATCTTGCAACACTAAATCCCCCTTTTTTTCTGTTCTTATGATCTGATTTGACAAAATCTCGATATCCAAGCTACTAACATCAAGATCGAATGAAAATTGCGTAGCATGGCAACTGATTTTTTGATTAATTTATTTGACAAAGCTTGACTTTTCTCCTTTCAGAAGCAATTTCAAGGGTTTCATTACTTATTATTTCAGCCATGAACCAACAATCAGACGATTCTTTCAGTGAACACGGTCCTTCCCCCAGTGAAAATCAAATAAATGTTTAGGAGAATATCGACGAAAAATCAGATCAGGGGAAATCATTTTTTTTCCTGGCACATGATTCCTTTACTATCAGGAAATAGAGTGTGTACTTTTTTCACCCTATTTGAAACAAAGACTGCCATTTTACGTCAGAGATGCTAAGTGCTTGTTGGACAGAATGTGCCAACCTGGTCGCAAGAAGGACAATCAGGACAAAGTTTGCCGATTGTAGCTTTTAGTTAAGCTATCTTCGCCATTCAAACGTCAGTCTGTTTAGAATTCCAAGATAGCCCCTTACAAAATAAATACTTACAAACACAATAAATATGTGGCTACAAATTGGATAAAACAAAAATAAACAATAAAGTTATGTGCTATTTTTTAATAGAATTTTTGGTAACACATTGTCTTCGTAATTTGAGTTCCTCTTTGTAATTTGTATTTGTTTATTTGGTACACAAAATGCTTGTATAAAATCAGTAAATAATACTCTAAAAATACAATAACCAAAACACGGTCAAATAAATACAAATATTTCAAAAAATTTAAAACATTCCTTTCTTAAAAAACTGCACGTCTCGGGTTAGTGCAGCCCCCAAAACCAAGGGCAATCAAACATCATTACCATAGCAAAGTGTCTTTATTATACCATAACATCATTACTATAGCAAAGTGTCTTTACCATACTATAACATCATTACCAATAGATATTACCATACATAGCATCATTACCAATAGTTATTACCATATCATAACATCATTACCAGATTCTATTGTAAAAAATTTTATCTGAAAATCTATTTTAATCGCCAATAGACGGCGTAAATATTTCGTAATGCAAGTTTCTGTTCTTGTATCTGGCAACACCAGTTGAATGCATATTCGAAGGGAATAAACTCTGAATGTTGAAACTTGATATGGATGATGTTTGCCTTTTAATTATGCATTAGTTTGGACATGTATCGTCTAGATGTAAAATAAACTTGTGAGTTGTGTAATAATTGAAATCATAATAAATTATTTTGTAAGAATATCGTTCCTGAATCTGAATCACTTTCAGGTATTAAACAGGATGTAGTTGCAACATTAAATTCTAAGCAGAATGTTAGTTACTCCCGTTACTATTATAAAAAAAACATTAAACTCTATGTTTGTTTATTAAACTGGAAACTTGTACTGTTTCCGCTCCAGATTAAGATAATACTAGAAGTCAGTAAAAATTCTAATCGATGACGAGTCACTAAAGTCATTTATTAGTTCTTATTTAGCTAAAGAACTAAAATTAAAGAGTTTAAGGAAATAAAGTTTATATATTTATTCTAAATTAAAAGTGTATTAAGGGTAGGCTAATGGAATCAGTTTACCTTCAAAAGTATTCATAACTCTAATGATTCAATTACAACTGAAATTGTGGTTACAGACACTATTTCTTGAGCAATCATAAAAATTCCCTCGAAAAATATTTTGAAAGTGTTAAAAGCAGAAAATTTAAAATTAGCCGATAATAGTGAACCAGCTGAAATAAAAATATTGCTGGTATCTGATTCATGTTAGGAAGTGCAAAATACGCGAAAAGAAAGAGTAAGTAAAAAACTATTTGCGGTTTTCTTCTATATGTGGTTGGTCTTTGGTCGAATCTTTTGAAGGTGGTTAGGCTGTTGCTTCTATGTTTACAATTGATGCGTCTCATTGTCTGAAGGAAAATGATAACTCAATCAATCTCTTTTTGCGAAGGTATTGGACTTCAGAACACATGGGCTTGGAAAAGAATGAAAATCATGATGATAAATCAATTATTGAGAAATTTGAAAATGAATTGCGTTTCAGTAATATGTAACTTGTTTTTTACGGAAATCAAATCAGGAAATTTTAGGTTATAATTTAGAAAATGCCAAACGACATCTAATGTCTTTAGC